GTTCCAGGACTTGAGCCGTGGTCAGCCATATGGGAGTCCAGCACCCTTAACTACCACACCACCTACCAGCCCCTCTATAAAGTATTTCATTTCCTATATTTTAGTCTTCATCTCTGGTTGATTCTTTTTTAAAATGTCTGTCTTTGTATAAAATTACTCATTCCTATCATGGAATAATTTTCTCATCTCCTGAAATCATTCATCTATTTTCTCTTTCATGTCATCGAGTTTTATTATGACCAGTATTCCGAAGTCTATTTCCAACAGTTCTGTGATTTGTTATATTTTATTCATTGCTAGTGAGGAGTCATTGTGTTCTTTTGGAGTAGAGATGCTTCCTTATTTTTATAATATTTCTTGTGTCCCTGAATTGATTTTTTTAAGTATGTAGTGGAGTACTCACTTCTGATTTATGGAGTCAATTCTAACTCCCAGGACATGGCAGAGTGGCCCTGGCAAGGTGACCCAGGTCAGGCCAGAGACCTGCCAAGTCTTTCATATCTGAGCAGAGTATGTACAACCTGTCTGTGTAATCTAGGGGTGGAGCAGCCAGGGTTCAAATGCACCCCTGTCAAGGTAGACCAAGAGGGGCCAGAGGCCAGCCTAACTGCAAGACCCAAAAAGCAGGTCCTGTGTGACCCGCATGGAATACCCAAGGATGGAGCAGCTCTCACCACCCCAGTGTGACCCTGGAAAAGTGATCTAGATGAGATGGGAGGCAAGTTCTATTGAGATGCATTTTTCTGCCCCAGGAAGCCTGCTGAGTCTGTCTGCCTATAATTCCCAGTGTGGAAGAGGACTCAAATGCAACCCTGGCAGGGCAGTGCAGGAGGAGGCAGATGCAAGTCTGTCTATGAGACCCAAGAAGCAGGTCTCATGCAGGCTGCATCACTCGTGAGCAGGGAGACCCTTAAGGCTCAAATGTAGCCCTGGCAAGGTAGTCCCGGAGGTTGCAGAAACAAACCTATTGGTGAGGCCCTAGCCAGAGTATGTGACCTATAAAGCCCAGGGATGCATGGAGGCCAATCAGATTCGAGCACATTTGTGCTAGGAGTTAGGTGGCTGGATCATACATTCCAGGATTATGAGATGGTCTGGGACAGAACCCTGTCTTCTTCCCTGACTTGGACGGGTCTTTCTGGTGCCTTCCTTCCATCAGATGCCCCCCCCCCTTTCCCTTTGATCATACTTACTGTTCAGGGAGGTCCAGAAAAGTTGTGTTATAGGTGGCCTCAGTCCTGATTATTACAATAAAATCTAAGCTCTACCTGCTAGGTATGACACCAAGCTCTTGGGGCTCGGGGAGGGGTTGGAGCGGGAGGTCCAGTGTTTGCTCTGTAGTGCTGTCTATGTGTATTTCCCGAACTCCATGCCGGTTTCATGGCCCTTCTGCAGGTGGGAAGTGTAGGGGTCTGAGCTAGGAGTATGTGATTCAGAGTTTCAGAAGACAGATCCTCATGCCTTCTCCCCTGTGGCGGGTGAGGGCTTCAGAAGCTCAGTGCATGCAGACAATTGACTTTGTTTTTATATTTCTAAGTAGAGACTCTGGGCTCCGGTCGCCCCTGCTATCTTTTTCTTGCACTTCATTAGTCTCATCTCACTTCACTACTGGAAGTATAGGCATTTATTCAGCTCTTTTAGCAAAGAGACACCACCAGGGGTGTTTCTAGTCAATTACCTTCATCCCACCCCCCCATCTTATCTTAATAAGGTTATAAATTAGTAAGAAATGGACACTTGGCTGTAACCAATCATATCACCCAAGGCTTTCATTACAACACAGATATAGAATTGACAGTTCTCGATCAACTTGACGTTCTTGTACCTTGGAGATAAAAGTGGCTGTGTATAGAAGTTCACAGAAACTTCTACACCACCCTCAGTTAAAAAAAAAAAAAAAAGGAGACCAAAAATTAAAAATTAAAAAAAAATCTGAGTGAATACAAAGGATGTGTTATGACCAAAACTGGAAATCACTTTTTATCTCTAATATTAAGGGTAGTACATTTTAATATAAGAACCTATTTGCTTTATGAGAGACACTAAGATACAAAATTATTTTCATATAGTTCCTGTTGTATAAGTTACCAGCTGTTTGCAGAATCTTGAGTTATTTGGTAGTGTAAATAGAAAGTTATGGTTGAAATGGAACTTTGTGGTCACCTAACACAAACCACCCATGACTGCCAAGTCCTCCCCACGGGCCACCATGCATGCCTTCCAAGTTCTGGGTCTGCAATTTCCTGCCTCATTCCACCAGATCGCCACTCATTCTCAGCTTGACCCTTCAGTAACAGCAGCTACCTCACCTTTAGTGACCATTCATCTCTACCCTGATTAGAAAGTACTTATAAATTGAGGCAAAACTAGCTTGTATGCATTTACCCCGGTTCTGGCTTCTGAAGCAATTCCCAACCATTGAGTCTAAGGAGATACAAATTAGGCTCATGTACCTAAGGGAGAACGTAAGCATTAGAGTTCTTCATGGAGAGAGACTGAGGGGGTGAGACGCTACTGCTCCATTCCCTTCACACATTCTGGTAGTCTCCCCACCTCCCCACCCTGAGGCTCACAGCATCTCTGCCACTATTGCTGTCATAACTTTCCAGTGTCCTAGGACTACCCTAGTACCCAAACCTTTCTTCACCAAGACTAGCCTTTAGGTCCAGGAGCACAGCTATTAGGCCCCACCTCTACATCTCCTATTTTCTAGACAAAAAGCCCAATTCATTAGCCAATTCCATGGAGTCTTAACCTCAGAGCCCCTTACTGGTGAATTTCCTCAAGCGTGATGCGGCTCACTCAAAGTCCTAAGAGTCTGGCACTAGAAACCAGACCCAGAAGTCCAGCTGTAATCTATAGGAAGAGTAGAGCAAGCTATCATCCCCTTTTGTTTTTGTTTAGTTTTTTATTTGTTTGTTTTAAGAAAGCAGGATGGCATAAATCTAATAAGGAGGCCCTCATCATTTTATGTGGGCTTCAGTTTTTTATATGTCCCTGGTTTTGTGGCTGGTACTGGTAAAGACCTGCACCACACAGTGTTATCAGACTGCGGCAAAACCAAGTCCTCCTTAAAGACATCCGACCTGAGAGTGTGGGCAGTTCCCCTCCTGACCACATTCACCTACTCCTGAAAGGTGATTTCTCAGGAGCAATCTGAGCATGATGGACACTTAAACAAACAAGCCTAAGTTAGTTTATAAGAGGAAGCAGTGGAACTACGAAACAAATCGGCAAGTGAAAATTACAACACACAAGAGTTTCACATTACACGACGAAATACTGGTTGTTAAATAGAATTACCTTTATTTGACATTGTTTCTTTCCTGATCCTCTTCAGTCATATCTAACATTTACTCAGGTTTTTTCAGCCTCCAGTTTAAGGTGTTGGGCTCTACCCTCTGTGGTTCCAGCTCCAACCTTCTGCACGATTCTGGGGGCACTAGCATATGCCAGGCACTGCACTGCATGTATATGTAATTGGTATATGTCAAGTGTATGGACACATTTAACTTTCCCCATAGGAAAGTTGATTCCTCAGGCCAGCAGGTGGCATGGAGGGTACGGTGCTGGATCTCACATGGCCACCTACATGAATCAAGTCCCAGACCCGGCTCCATGAGGGACACACAGAACACATGTGTATGCCCAAAATCCTGAGAGGAGGAGGGATTTGGGCATGGCTCTTCCCACTTTCTCACTTTCCCTGCCTCTCTCTCTCTTTAGAGGGATTTGGGCATGGCCCCTCCCACTTCCTCACTTTCCCTGCCTCCCTCCCTCTTTCTCTGGTGAACACATGCACGCTATAGCAAATAAAAAAGAAAAGAAAGAAACGTTTATCCCTCACAACTATTCTAAAAAGTAAGACTTGTTACCCCATTGTATACATAAATAAGATTCAAAGATTATATACATCGCATAATGTCACACAACGATAATAAGTAGGAAACCAATAGATTTAAACCGATGTGTCTGTCCTCAAACATGGTGTCACTTTCCTGCAAATATCATGTTATAACCATCACAGGTCACTGACTCTGACTTCAAATAATTACCATTTTAGATCAAATGTTTGCTCAATATTTTTACTGCCTGACCACAGGGATAGTGTTTGGAAGTGAACGTAGCATTCACCAGTTCAAGACCATGTTCAAGTTCTGATTGGCTCCAGGTCTAACATACCACAGCACACCCCAGGTCCGCTGCACCTGGGGAGAAGGAATGCATGTTGGCAGCATTGCTTCCCTCCAAGTCCCTATCACAGTGCTGGGATATAGTTAGGACTTGATTTGCATTGGTGTAACTGACATGTTGCAGGTCCACCACAGAAGTATGTGCTATGTGGGGCTGGCAGATGGCATGGTGGTTAAGGGTGCTGGACTCCCACACGGCTGACCACAGTTCAAGTCCCAGCCCAGGGGCTTGCTTTCTCACTCACTCTCTCTCTCTCACTCTATCCCTCTCTGGTCAAATTAAGTAAACAAATAAAACAAATAAATTTTAATAAAATAATTCTTAAAAAAAAAAAGAAGTATATGCTATGCATGGGACTAGCATCTGGTGTAATGGTTACACCGCTGGACTCCCACGTGGTCAACTGTGGTTGGAGTTCCAGAGCCAGTGGCTTAAACCTCACACCAGGCACATGTGTGTGCATGCCCAGAATCCTGAGAGGTGACTGGAGGAGAAGGGCTTGCAGTGTGGCCATCCTCCTTGAGGGGCGATTTCTCACTTTCTGTCTCTATGTCTCTCTCTGTCTCTCTGGCGAGCGTATGTGCCCTATAGCAAAAATCTCAAAACAAAACAAAAAGAAAACAAAAGAAAAAAAGAAGAAGAAGAATATGCTATACTGAATCTCAAGCCTAATTATCCCCTTCTACAAGCACGTTACCCAGACTTGAGTTTTGGGGAGAAATGATGAGCTTGTTTACCCACTCATGGAGAAGTTATAAATGAATGCAAAGACCTAGACTCATAGCTCTTTTCTTTTTTATCCCCAGTAAGTGAAAATGATGACCACCAAGCACATGATGAGACAGGAACACAGTTATGGGAAGGAAGTTTCTCCACTCCAGAAGGATCCAAAGGAAAACTTGGCCGACGCCCACTACACACAGAGCAACCGTCACCTGGATCTAGACGTCTGCGGGATGTCGGGGCGGCCTCGGCCCACGATCAGCAGCTGGGATGTGGACGATGCCACCCTGGTCTGTCATTCGCTGTTGTTTGCTCAACTGTGAAGAGCTGCATGAACTCTGGTTAAGCTGCTTTCTCTACCATTGCCAATCACCTTTTTCACCTTGGAAGTGCTCTTTTCCTGTGGACTCTTGCATTATCTCATTTTGCATGTATCCTGTGATTACACATAAGCAACATATGTAATCTGCTTATATATTTTTGAAAATCCATCCATGCAAAATGATAAATAAAGAATAAATTCTGCTCTTTTTTTTTTCAAAATTGTAATCATAGCCCATGTCATTTAAAGTTTAAATTGGTTTCATTTAAAGATCAGTGTCATAGGTCTGCCTATCCTTTATAGAAAACTAGCTTCTATAAAGATTTTTTCACTGTTTACTAGTGAAATGAGAAAAGCAAAGCTATTTATAAAAGGCCTTATGTCGTGTACATACATTGTCTTTGAAATATTTGTGATTTAGTTTATTGCTTGTAAAAGAGAGTATATAATTTATTTAGTAAATACGACTGTAAACTATAGTTTTATTGAGAGAAATAAAATATTTTGTTCTCACTTGTGGTAGAACATTGATTCTAGTGGTTTATGTTCTTTACGCTTCTTTCATTAATTTTAAAAAATAACCCAGACATTTCTCATTTCCAGATATTCAGGAATCTTAAGTAAACTGGATCTCATGATAGATGAAAATGAAGAGAGAAAATTCTTAGCCCTGGGGCCAGACAGCAGCAAAAAGTTTAAGAAAGGTCTGTGTGGGACAGAAGGTGGGATAGTATTTAAGTCTCTGGACGCCTGTGTGGTTGATTGTGGTTCAAGTTCCGGACCCAGCAGCTTGAAACTCATGCCAGGTGTATGTGCATGTGCATATGTGCCCGAAATCCCAAGAGAAGAATGAAGGAGAAGGGAGTACAACATGGCCATTTCTCCTGGGAGATGAGGAGGATTGGTTTCTCATTTTCTCTCTCTTCGACTCTCTGACAAATGCAAGTACCCTATAGCAAAAATCTCTCAAAAAAGAAAGAAAGCTTTGTGAGGCAGATCCATAACCTGAGACTGCCTGAAGCAAGGAGTGGATCACATCATTGGCCTTATTGGGGCTGCCATCTCTCTGTCTCTCACACTCACTCACTCACAGAATAAACTTAAATACACACATACATATACTGATATATATACACATATACATTTTACATTTTTTTTGTTTTAATTTTGCTATAGGATGCATACACTCACCAGAGAGAGACTGGGAGAGGTGGGGAGGGCTGAGAAAGCAAGCCGCCAGGTCCAGGACTTGAACCTGGTTGGCCATATGGGAGTCCAGTGGCTTAACCACCATGTCACCTGTTGTCCCTACATATATTTTTTAATTCTCGGTCCTGAGAAAAGATTCAGTAGCAGATTTTGCTCTAATTGTCTAAGAAACTTTCCAAATGGCCTAGTGTATTCATTGACTTTCACTAAGTCACGCTATGGTAGCAATCCTAACATCACAGTAGCTTTTACAGGCGATGTTTTATTTCTCACTCCCACATAGGAGCCGGCTGCAGCTCTGCTCCAGTGTTTCGTTCTGGGATCCGAAGTGGCCCCTATCTGGGACATGCCACCTTTTTTGGGGGGGGAGAGGGTTTTTTTGTTTTTTGGGTTTTTTTTTTTTTTTGCTATAGGACACATGCATTCACCAGACAGAGAGAGACAGAGAGACAGAAAGCAAGAAATCACCCTCCAGGGGGATGGCCACGCTGCAATCTCTTCTCCTCCATTCTCCTCTTGGGATCTTGGGCACGCACACACACGCACCCGGCGTGAGTTTTAAGCCACCGGGTCCAGGACGCAAACCGCGGTCGACTACGTGGGAGTCCAGCGACATAGCCCTTAGGCTAACTGCTGGTTCCCCGACATGCCACTTTTATGGAAGTAGGAAAAGAACAATGATGGCACCAAGCAGACGGAGCTCATAAAGCATCTCCTTCAATGCAGCTTAACAATACTTCTGCTCCCGTTCCATTGGCCAAAGCAAGTGACACTGTCAAGTCTGTCAGAGCAACGAGAAGTTCTTCCTACACAAGAATGGACCCCGCAGGGAGTGACAGCAAATCATTTAAACAGTTCATCCGATTTACACCAGCTGGTGACCAGGGCCGGTAGCAGACACTTAAAAGGCTGGGAGAAAAATTCCTAGAAAGCAAGATGATCAAGGGCACAGAATGACATTCCTG